TTTGCCTCTGTTCCTCTGTATCCTGGTAGGAAAAGGAGCATCTGAAAATACTTAGCTTTGTTGGAAACAAAAGGCAGATCTGAATAAAGCTGAAGTTCATAACTTTTTCAAATAAGTTTTAGGCAGTGGAGTCCATTCAAATTATTAGAGTTACCTAGCAACATAAAAGGTGCTAGAAAAATTATTGTTATTGCTGTTATCTTTTCCTTCTCTCTAAATCATCACTTTTTAAAGGATTATATGTGGCAGCAAATGCAAAACAATTCCACTTTCAAAAAAATGTTTCAGGCAAAATTATCTTGTTTTTTTTTTTAATCTTGGTTTCTTGCATAAGTCCAGAAATTTATGGACTAGATGCCAGAGCTCCAGACTTCTTCTATCTTTCAGCTCTCCTATGACTGGACCCTAGTCCCAAAGTCACCTTATGCTTATGCTTCAAGATGTATATTCTAGCTCTAGCTATCATGCTCAAATGTCACCAAATAGACAAAACAAAAGAAAGCTCTCTTGCTCTCTCTCTCTCTCTCTCTCTCTCTCTCTCCTTTAATTATTATCAACGTAGAAGAAGTTGCCACTTGGGCAATTTACCAAGATCTTGTTTTAAAAGAAAACTAGACATGCACTTTATTTTTTATTGAAGACCCTGGCTGAGACTCTCAATCTCCCTCAAGGCAATACAATTCAAGAAGGGAAGACACAGAAAAAAGACTTAAACAGAAAGCAGGGAACTGGGATGGGCCATGCTGAACATGTGCTGAGGGCCCCAAGCAACCAGGACTGTCAGTATTTATTGATTACACAGGTGTGAGTAAAAGTAAGGTAAGGGGACACGTATGGCATCCAGTGATATTAGCTGACACAGACAAGGCATGTAGAAAAGAGGGTGAGGCATTCTTGGAAAAGGAGCAGAACAAACCAAAGGTCAGTTGTGGTTAACTACTAAGTTAGGAAAACAATTAAGGGAGGAGTAGCTCTATGAATGAAATGTGGTCTGGAGCCATAGGTTCTAGGCTGCAGTTATCTCACTTAGAAGCCCTGCAGCTTCATAGATCAGCACTTAGATCTATGTGGCAGCCATTGGCCTGGAAGCTATACTAGCCTGCAGTACCATCTGACATGGTTCTATGAGTTATATAGCCTTCTTTTTGGCTCTGAGTACACTCTAATCAATTATGGGGGGAAAATGCTTGCTCGCTTGCTCCGTATTACAGCCTGCTCTAAGCCTGGCCAGAGGGGTCTGTCATAATTTTTATTATCCATTTCCCACCCTAGCTGGTTAATGTTCTAGAATGAGCACAATAGAATAATAAATAATAGTGAAAATTATGTAGACATGACATTTCCTCCTCAGCAACAACAGTGTCTTATCCACCACTACTAATCATACATACACTTCTTTGGTGTACACAAGCAATAACAGAACTTGTCAAAGAATGCATACTAAAGACTTGAAATGCCAAATTAACTGATTGTCAGCTGTTATAAATGATTAAACAAAAGAAGATATATATATATATGCATTCAAATGATTTGATTGAAATTAGTAAATATTTTATTTGTGAGTTTCACATCTAAGTTGCATGTTCTTAACATTTTTTCTTACATTGCTTTTTTTTTTAACTTTTATATTGTTTTGAATTGAGGTTTTACTAGTCTTAGAAAATTATTGATGCACATCTTTTTCAATTTCATAGAATAACCTCGATATAATCCAGATTACTTTTGTTTTTAAAGTTTGGTCTTTCTCTATCTGGACATTAAAGTGAAGAGGTACCCACCATTTCAGTTTCATTAACAATTTTCATTCTACTCTGGTTTCCTTTCCTCCAATTTTAACTTTACTTAGAAAGTTATCTATTTCCTCTGCGTTTTTATAATTATAAGAATAAAGCTGTTCATACATAATCTTATTTATGAATCTGTTATATCTGAATTTACTTCCCCTTTTTAGAGAAGGTTTTGGGAAAAATGATTCATTATAAGAAGAAAACTAAGATTGAATTAATATACATCATATACAACGGTAGCCTCCTGATTCAATAAAAACCTAATTAGGAAAGATAAAAAGAATATGACTGATAGAAAAATGTGTAGGCAAATTCCTTGATAACCTAGATGTAAAAAGCACTTTAATGAAAACTAAAATCCAAAATTCATAAGAAAAATACACACCATCCTCTTTACCCATGGTTTCACTTTGCATAGTTTCTATTATGTATGGTCAACTAAAGTAAGGTCTGAAAATATTAAACAGAAAATTCTAGAAACAAGCATTTTATAAATTTTAAATTCTTTGCTCTTCTGAGTGTTACGATAAAATCTCATGCTATCCTACTATATCCTGGCCAGGTCAAAAATTATTTCTTTCTCCAGCATAGTCTACCCAACAGATGTCACTTAGTGACATGGTACTGCAATATCTGTGTTTAAGTAACCCTTATTTTATTTGTAAATGGCCCCTGAAAACAAGATTAATGATTCTGGCAATTTTATTACAGTATATTGATAAAACTGATCTATTTAATAGCTGTTGGCAGTTATCTTTTACTGTACCTAATATTTACACATGTAACTATGATAGGAATGCATATATAAGGGAAAATATATTGAACATAAGGCTCAGTACTACCTGATGAGGGTCTTGGAATGTATCCCTCTACAATAAAGAGGACTATGCATTGATGGAGTTGACGAAAGACTTCTCTTCAGTGAAAAACAACCTACACAAACTTATCAAGTATTTGACAAATCGGGAAGAGATTTTCCAAACAATTAAACTTAGCAAAGGGCTAACATTTAGGATATATAAGACATTTACAAATCCATAAATGGTAGGAAACACAATTTAAAATAGATATAACTAGGTAATTTATCAAGAAACATCCAACTATTAACTCTCAACAAACTGGCAAAAGTTAGAGGTAAGTCAGCTATAATGAAATATAGGAAAAAGGTACTCTGTGAACTGCTGATGGGAGTGTATATTGGCATAGTCATTGTAGAAAGCAATCTGGGCATACTCAGTGGAAATAAATATGATCCAGTAATCTATACCAAGGATGCATCCCAGAGGAACTTGAGCCCAAGTTCACGAGGGGACAGGCACAAAGATGTTCATTGTAACAGTTAAGTTAGAGGCAACTGGGTGCTCTTCACTACAGGAATGAGTGTGTAAAATGTGGTGTATGTATACCATAAGATACTGTCCAGCATCCAGAAGCAATAAAAGAGTATCAAATATGATAGCATAGGTGAATCTCTGAATGAATGTTAAAAACATTAAATTTAAAAATTAGCAGACTGAAGCTCAAAGTATAATGTCATTTGGGCAAATTAAAAACAGATGCACATATATAACAGTACCACATATGTTTCAAGGAATCACATATATCCAAAGGAATCTGTGAGTGTAAAGCATATATGTAATAGAATGGTTCCCACAGTGAGGAGCCTGGTAAACAGAGTTAAGATGGAAGATGAATGGCAAAATAATAAAAACTTAAAAGAAATATCTTTCCATACGACGGTGTACACTGGGATATATAACTAATTTAACATCCTGTACTAGAAAGTAAAAATATATAATTTATATAGTTATATTTCCTGAACTCTAACTTACATAATGTATAACATTTTCCCATATATATATTTGTATTACAGGCACAGGACTTAGTAGGCTTACATCATTTTCTTAAGGCTTATTCCATTGCCCCCCTCATTCTCAATGATATCTACATATCCAATGATACCCTTCAAAATACAATTTATGTTTTTCCCTATGAAACCTTTCAAATTCTTTCATTTATATAAATATCTGTCTGAAACCAAATGCTTTTATAAGTTGTTCTAAGACATCTAAGACTTAATAATACATGAGATCTCTACTGCTCTGTATTATGCTTTGCTCAGGGCTTCCTCTACTAGATGTTAATTTTTTAGAGACCAGAGAGATTTTTTAAAAGCTTCTTGGTATGCCTAGGGCAGTGTTGTATACACAGAAAGATCTTAATAAATACACTAATAGATTTTTCCATGGCAATTGAAAATCTACTTGTAATTGTGGTGGCAAGAGAGGGATAGGTAGGGTCATGAAGAAAATTGAAACAATTTATTGTTTTGCAATTGAAAAGTAGTTGTGAAAATGCAGAATGGAAGTTCCTTTTAGATTTAGAATTCCTTTGGAACTTGAGGATGATAGATTATGGAATAATCCATATCACACTAACTGGAGTAGCTCTCCAACAATGGAAAGAGAAAGAGAAACAGTTTTCTTTAGGTGCCTCTCTGCTTCTCTTTTCTTAATGTTTTCTTATTTATGACATATTTGCTTCAGTAAATCGTACTACTGAAACCCTATCTATCTTTTTTTTTTTTTCTGACTGTCCTAGGCCATGAACTGTTACTACTTTTTCCCCTGAATACTTACAGAATTCTGTTTACTTCAATCTGAAAAGTAAAATTACTAAGATCCAACTCTAAGTGTGCTGCCTCAATTTAGAACACTGTCCAAAAGACCTTTTGCTCTTTAAAGGGAAATATATTTCTATTGTTTTTGATGAAAATTATCATTTATGCTTTCAAATATATGAATTAATTTTTATACTCTAACCTATGATGGGTCATGGATTTTTGTGGCTGTGGAGGACAGAAACACCAGTGAGGGTGATAAACTGAGCATTGTCTTCAGTGAGACTTAAAATCCTATTTAGCTGTGCTTTGAGACATAGGTGCAGCTCTCTCAGCCCTTTGGAAAGTGAAGAGAAAATGTGGCAATGGTGGTTAAATAGTACATAATGCAAAAGAGAAAGAGGTAATAAGACAAGGGTAGAGTATCTGTTTTAGCTACTTCCTAGGTTTATAACCTGGACCAAGTTAATGAACATTACTGAAACATTACTTTCCTTTTTGTATGATAAGAAGATAGGAAGTTCTCTTTACTACCAACTAATAAGATCACTTGTCTGTAAGAACTTAGACACATAAGTGGGGAAACTGAGCTTCATTTTAGTAATTCTAGTGAAGAAATGGGCCTGAAACATAGAAAGTAATTGATACATATTTGTTGAAAGATACATACATATTCATCAAAAGAAAAAATGGTAAAGGCTAGAGGGGAGGTTAAATCACAAAAAAACCATCAAGAAGAGAGACTTACAGGCCAGACAGGTAGAAGAAGACACTTGCGAAGGCGGAGAGGAATATGTCTTCCTTTTTCAGGAGGCAGTACCAGGGAAAAGCTTCAGAAACCAAGGCAGCTGTAGCATAAAAGTTCTGCGAGCCCCATGCCTATAGAGAAAATCAACAAGCATGTTTTAAACAATTAAGATTCATAGTAGAAATGATGAGTGAAATAAATCAAACACACAGCTTAAATACCATGTAGTATCTCTCATTTGAGTAAGGGAAAGAACATAATAAATGAGGGATAGAAGGAAACTATGGGCCAGATCTCTTGCAAATAGGAAGAGCCCAGGAGACTGAGGGCAAGAGGAGAGAGGGAGAGGAATGGGAAGTAGAATTAAGCCATGTACAGGATCTAATAACCTGAATGATTAAACATTGTATGTTATGAATACGAGCTAAGATTAATATCAACAAGAATGAAAATGGGGAAAGGGAGCTAGGCATGGCAGCACACCCCTGTGATCCCAGCACCGGAGAGGCTGAGGCAGGAGGATAGTAAAGAGTTCGAGGCCAGCCTCGGCTACATAGTGAGTTTAAGACTAGCCTGAATTACTTAGAGAGACCCTGTATCAAAAAGAAAGAAAGAAAGAAAGAAAGAAAGAAAGAAAGAAAGAAAGAAAGAAAGAAAGAAAGAAAGAAAGAAAGAAAATAGGGAAAGGGGATTTAAAGGTGGATAGGAAGAGGATTAAAAAAAAGAAACTAACTATATTAGGTACATACACCTACTCCCCAAGATGAATGTAAACTTCATGTACTGAAAACATGGACTAAGAAAAAAGAGGAAGAAAAAGATTTGTAGTACATCTAAATACTTGGATCTACACTTGAGGCAGCTAGAAGTGAGGCAGCTAGAAGTAAGCAAGACAGGGGAGTAATGAGTTCAATGAAATCACTAAAGGCTTTGGAATTGGACCAGAGTTTAAATCCAAGTGCTACCATTCACTAATGGTTTGAATAATCACTAAAATTCATCTTTCTGAGGTATCTGTAAACATGTCTTAATTCTGAAAAGTGAACACTATAGTGTTGTCTTCATAGAACTGTTTTGAATATTGAACAAGTAATATATAGATAGAAGCTAAAACATACTTAATGTGATATATTCTTTATTGCTTAATGTCTTTATCATTACTACTGCTGTTACTGCAGATTTTATGTCCATCAAGTTATGTATCAGTTAATTTAATATATGTTTTAACTTTGATTCAAGAACTTACAATATGTAAATGGCTTCTTTATTTTTGTACTTTCTTCTATGTGGGTTTTTATTCTTCTTAATGTTTTTTTACCACCCCCACCCTGGAAAAAAAACTACCAAAAAACCCACAAAAACAATTTCTTTCTCCTAGCAATGCTAAGAAGAAAAAAAGACCATTCCATTTCAATCCAGGAGAGCTAAGTTGTCTACATGGCTGTCTTCTGGCCAACTAGGTCCAGAACCTCAGAAGACCAGAAAATCCAGGTCAGAACAAGGGGAAGAGAAGAAGGAACCAATTCAGTCATGAGGTTCTCTTTAAATGAATCTAAGGATTGTACCACATTCAAAAGAATTTAGAGCCTCTTCCCAACAAAAGACACACACCCTTTAATTCTGATTACTTGTTTAAACAATACCTTCATTTGAGTGGACAGTACGAAGAATCTCGCTGCCTTATTGCTCTGTAAGATGCATACTTTTAACATTGATAACATTACATATTATGTCAAAATGTTTCAATTGAATAGATTAATGAGAATTAATCAATTAAAATTTATGTAAGTTTTGTTATAGACAACTTATTGATACTGATAACTTACCGGTTCTTAACATGGAGACAACAATATGGCTTGCCTGTACTTATAATACAGACAAAAAATATAGCTTATCACTTGCTCAATCATGTTTTCAAAGAAACTTACTTCTGGTGAAATGTGTTAGACTTTTAAGCAAAACCATTAAAACAGCTTGAATTAGTTTTGAACTTATCCCCAAAGTTTTTACTGTGACAGAAACATGCCTCATGAGTCGCCCGATTTAAACTCTCTGGTCAAACAGTTTTGATGTTACCTCATTAGTTATCAAGCCATTTTGATCCGATGGTTATAAAATAAAAGGTCAGGGCAGGCCAAGAGTAGAGTAAGATAGGAGGGCTGTATTTCACTTCCAATTTTTGGCCTAAGCTTTCATGCTGAGGAAATTGTTTTCAAGGGTTTAGATTCCTAGAGCAATCTCAGTCCCAGGATTCCATATACAATGTGTGAGATTTCTCCAGGAACACTATGACGTAACTCATGAAGCTGTATGCGAACATGAAGTCTAGGGGATACACTGTGGCAAAAGTCCTAGACCAAAGAAAGGAAAATAGAGTGTGCTGCATAAAATAAAATAAAGAGTGGGATATTGGTCTGGTTTGCTTGTTTGCTTAGGAGTCCACTCTGAGGGATAGGCAAGGAGACATACTTGCCTTGACTGGGGACCCCGTGAGGTGCAGAGACACTCTCAATAGGAGAATAAGGTGAGAAGCAAAACGAGGCTGGAGTCGAACAAAGGCGCTGTCGAGACACAGGCGAGTCCAAGCAGCTCAGGCTTCCCTCAGAGGGTGACTGGGCTGCAGTGAGCCTGAGGGAGCCAGGGTTAGACCGCTGGAGGCGCGTCCCCGCCGCGTTCCCGCCCCTCTGGAGCCCCGCCCCTCCGGAGCCCCGCCCTCCTGACGGACCAATGGAAGGGTTGAATATTAGCAGGTGGGAGGTGCGGCCGCGTTGCTACAGCCAGAGCTGGGCTGCAGCGGTGTTGCTGGACGAGACTTGCGGAGCCGAAGGCCGTGGAGCGATGGAGGGGCTGGAAGGTGAGGAGGTGAAGGGAAGCGAGCGGGGCGGCTACCTACGGACTCGGAAAGGTTAGGGGCAGTGGACACCCATCCCCAGGTGGCGAGGGCAGGTTTGGAGCAACAGAACCTGCCTCGTCTGCTGAGGCCCGGGCGGTGGTGGCTGGACAGCCCCTGGCGCGGCGGGGTGAGTGTCACTGCCTGGCGGCTCTCCCTCAGATGGTCTTCAGTTGGCTCTCCAGCCTAAACTGCCTCAGGGTCGTGCCTGCACCTCCTGTCCTACCTTTCTACCTTTTCCTCCTCTTTCCTGACTCCTGGATTTTCTTTGGGTAATTGCCGGCTCCGGCCAGATTGTATTTTTCCTTGCAAATTGGACTCTCCGGTAATGTCCATGGCCTCCCCACCGCCGATCTTTGGTGTACCCCGGGAATAAGACCCCCGCCCCGAGCGAGCTCCTGACACTCGTTGGCCAGCTTCCCTTGGTAGTTGTTTTCCATTTTTGCAGCATCTTCTGTGGGAGAGATGCCAGAGCATCTCTTAGAAAGTGTCACTGGCCAGCTTTAGAGCCAGGACAATAGATTACCAGAAGGATTTACTGGTTTATTCACGAGGGCTGTTTAGGAAGAGCCAGCATCGGTTCCTTGTCTTCGAGTTTACCCTAGTGCTGTAACCATGACTCCAGATTTTGCTTTGTTCTCAGTTCTTTCACTTGTTTTCATTCTCTTTACTCATTTTATCCAGCATAGGAACAGCGTTCGCTTAAAAACAAAGAAAAAAACCCAACTAGCCTTGGCAGCAACAGTGCCAAGTGTTTTAAAATTGTAGTTAATCCTTCTAATGAAGAACAAGCTTTCAGAATTGAAAGATTTTGTTTTGATTTGCCTTTCCTTTTTCTCCTTCTAATGTACATGAATTGAGTTGGAATTAAACATGAGGAGAGGCATTGAGTTTTATGTATTATTGCATGATAGAGCCTAAAATATTTCAGATTGTGTTATGAAGTGAAAAGTGGTAACTAGTAACTTTTTCAGTGATTTAAAGAAGGAAAATGCAACATGAGTGTATTTCATTCCTAGGCTCTCACATGAGGTCTCATATGAAACACCTCGAGGATAATAAATAATCAAAGAATTCTGATAATTTTCCATTTGTGGTTAGCTGCAGTATGCTATGACCTATAAAGGTCTTGCTGTTTATTTTAATACAAGTCACCTTTCCTTGAAATAAGGAATAATAATGATAGTACTATACTCCTTTTTTTCAAGATACTCTTGCTTAAGGGTCTTCTCTGGAGGTAGCTTATTTTTTATTTTAATTATTTGAATATATGTAGTGATGTAGCAAACTGAGTAGGAGCATAGGCTCTGGAATTCTCACAAAGTTATCATAATGTATTTAAAGTTCTTTAGAATAGTTTGTACTGTTATTTTATTATTTTATTCAAAACTTGTAATTTAAACAGTGATCTTCATCCAGTTTTTCACCTAAATATCTTTGGCACTTTTCTGTACAGAGTTCTGAACTGAACTGAGAATAGTTAAATCCTTACCCATTTTAGTAGTCCTTACATTTTAGAAGTGCTGATACTATTCTTGAAACTTTACTAAGAATATTTTTAAAGCATAATGGAAACAATATAATATTCAGTTATCTGAGTGGAGAAAACATGGATTCTGACGTAACATTATATGGGCATGTTTTCTTATGGGCCCAGCTTATATCAAATTAAACAGTGTACTGGCTATTTATTCATTTTTTTCTCTAGCAAAATAAGATACTGTCATGAACTATGATGTGTTTAATTGTAATAAATTAGGTAGAAATATATAAAAATTATTGTTTGACAAAACAATTGAATCTTGGTAATTTTAAAGGTTCAACCTAATAAAAGCTCCGAGCGTTTTCTATTTAAGACAATACCTTTCTGGGTTCACTACCCCTCTCCCCCACCCCTTAAAAAAATCAATTCTTATTACATCACATTTTGCAGAGATCAAAACTTTGCATTTTAAGGTTACCATTCATTAATTCATGCATCCATTTAATAAACATTGGTTAGAGATATAAGATAGTTTCTTCCCTATACTGCAAGTTAAAGGCTAGTATTTTGAAGGCTTCTGATAAACTTTATATTGCAGTATCTAGCATAAATCTTCAGGTTTAGTCAGGAGAGTCATCGTAGCACTTTGAGAGTCTGAGGCAGGAGGATGGCAGTTACAAGCCCAGCTTGGGAAACTTAGGGACTTAGTGAGTCTCTGTCTCAAAAACAAAACAATAACAAAAGGGCTGGGGAGATAGCCCAATGTAAAGTGCCTGGTTTATCCCAATACTGGAAAAAAAATCCTCAAGTTACCTTACTGTATCATGGTAATTGAATGCATATTGTACTTTTTGGCATTAGACCTAACATTTCTAGTTGAAAGTTTCCAGACTAGTCTTGATCGTAAAACTGGAAAATTTACAGACCCTTGAGAAGTTCTAAAGAAGATGATCTTACTCTTTCTTGTATTTTTTTTTCATTCTTTGTGTATCACGTATATTATTAATTTGGGACTTCCATGTTTCCCAGAAAATAAAAGAGATGAGCTATTAGACTAAAATATTGTTTTAGGAAATCAAATGTAAGTTATTGCTCATGATTTTGTATAGTTAATGACTGAGCACTTCTTCATGATTTCAGTAATTAAAGCAAAGCCTTTAACTCCTTTTCAGCTAAAGTTTGTGCCTTACAAGTGCATCTAAGGACAATTGAAGTTCTAGATTTGGAATTAGTTCCAGTGTCTGATAAGCTTTATTATCTATAAAATTATGAGCTGGTAAAATGAAGATTTTTATCCTTATATGCAGTATTCTCATTCCTTTCATAATGACTAATAAGTGGTTATAGCAATTATGGCAGAGATCAGGCTGTCTATATCTTTTGAATTGCTAAAATTATTACAACTTTTAGATATGAGATTTCCCCTTGATCTAAAGATAGCTGTCATGTCCCATTAAAGTTTCTGTTTTGTCTTTCATAAACATAAATGCATAGTAGTTTACTGAATAATTCTCCATCTTTAATAATTTATCTAGCATTGATTATTTTTTCGTACTGAGTTGGATACCAGATTTTTTTTTTTTTTTTTTGTACTGGGGATTGAACTCCGGTCCTTGCGCTTGTGCAGCAGGCGGTGAAACCACTGAGCTAAATCCCTGGCCCCGGATACCAGATATTTTAATAGCCAGTGCATTAGATAGGCTTGTGTTGGAATCCTTGCCTGGTTACTTTTTAGCTTTATGATTTGGGCATTTTACTTAACCAGAAACTCAGTTTTCTCAGCTATAAAAGAGTCATTGACTACTAAACTACCTTAACTATATTAAATATTAAATGATGTAACATACAAGATTCTAGTTGTTAAATGTTTAGTATATTAAAGACTCCCATCAGTACATATTTTTTGAATGAATAAAATCACAGGAGGCATGTTAGATGCTAAAGAATAGTCTGTTAAGTATTATTATCTCTATGTAACTATGGCAGCAAGATAGACTGGAGAAGGGGGAGGGTGGCCATATATGTACAGGATGAGGATTGGAACTAAGACAAAGGTAGGAGGAGCTACAAGGGAAGATATATTTAGAAGATATTTCTGGAAAAGTGAGATATGACTGTTTTATATGAGAAAGAAAAGGAATCAAAAATAAAGCAGATGTCTAGCTTTGGAAGGTAATATCTTGAAAAGGAAGATCAATCTTGGAGGATGAGATAATGAGTTTGACTTTAGAGATGTGTTTGTCCAGTACTTGGGCAGTATCTGGTGGAAAAGTCTCATAGTTATTGGAAATAACTATCTACCTGAAGGTTTTATTTTAATAATTACCAGCATATAAGTGATTCACCTGGGTGCAATCACCAAGATAAGCCATGTTTAACAAAATGAGGAAAGAAACTTGGGAGAAACAAATACTTAATGATTAAGACAGGACATTGGGATGGGGATAGTTTTTAAAGATGTTTAAAATTCATCAAGAAAGGAAAGTGGGGAAAAAACTAAATGGCAAAGTAATGAATGTGTACTAGAAAAAGCCTCTTGCTCCTGATACACGCAGGAAGTCTAAGTACTAACATGGTCAAGCTTTGCTTAGCTTGAGAGATCTAGAAGATTTGGGCTTTGAAGAAAAAAATGTGGGAACCAAAAGAGGAAAGACTTTAAAGCTTGAAGGGATTTATCAACAGTGCCTCATGCTGAAGAAAGGTCCAGTAGGATGAGGATGCAAAGGAGGTATTTGAATTTGGCAATAAATTAATCATCTCAATTTATTAAAATATTTAATGTCTCCTTGTTAAAGAAGCTTTTCTTGATCCTATCCATGTCTCAAAGGTAGTATTATGACCTTCATCTTTTGCCTTATTGTCTTCTTTCTTCACTGTGTTTATCATCATCTAACATCTCGTGTGTGTGTGTGTGTGTGTGTGTGTGTGTGCGCGTATGTGTTTTTAATAATTTTTCTCCTGTTAGAAGAGTAGAGGCTCCTTAAGATTAGACTCTTCGTGTTCTTTTTCCCTGGAGTCCTATATCCTAGACCGATTCTTGGCTCATGTTAGATACTTAACAAAAATTTGTTGAATCAGATTTTTTAAATTACTTTGGTGGTACTGGGGATTGAATCCTGGGCTTTTGCACTGAACTACGTCACCAGCCCTTTACTGTTTTTTGTTTTGAAACATGGTCTCACTAAGCCACTAAGATGCCAAGGGTAGGCTCCTGCCTCAGCCTTCTATATTATGGGGACTACAGATGTGTGCCATTATTCCCAGCTCATTTTAATATATCTATTAGACCTGATAAAATCTGCTGAAATTGATATAGGGAGTAGTTGAGAAGTAAGGAGGGACTAAGCAGAAAATATGAGTATTTTAAAACGTGCTACTCAGAATATTGTCCCTAAATATCTCTCAGAGGTAGAAAAGATTTCTGATGAAATAAGTATGAGAAAATAAAATAGTAAGTCTCTCTTTTTTTTTAAGACAGGAA